TTGTAGCTGTGTTGCTCTAAGGACATAGGTAGACAAGATTCTTTGGGTGAAGCTGACATCTTTTATTAGATCAACTTAAATAGCTGAAAAAAAGTATTTAAGCAGGTTTTTGGGTTTAAAAGGCTTCATCAGCCTGAGGAAGCTTATCCAGTTGGTGTCTTATGGTTTAGGCATTTTCTGAACATTCAAGTGTACAGTATTTAGTAAATGTAAATAAGTTACATATTGAAAACGATACCTACCTCTTACATTGTTAAGCAAAGTGTAAAACAGAGGCTGTTAGACCGTAAACAATATCAAGTCGCGTTTCAATATTTCACTAGTGAAGCTTGGAGGAAGGTTTCAGTAGGAGCAGTGCCTTAATTGAATTTTTACATGACATAATTATACGATATTTAACCATCATTTTTCTAAAACTGTTAACCTTTTGACTGGAAAGCTTATGGACACAAGGTTTTGGTGGAGACTAGGTAGTGTATTACATTCTGTAAATGTGTCTCCGCTCATCCTTGCTTCCCCACACTTCTTAGGTATCTTATTATTTTTAGTTCATAGATTGAGTTACAAAAGGTGATGACAGTTGTATGCAGGCCAATGTAGTGCATGTAACCCTAGTGCCTCTAGGATTCTGCTCCTAATCTTTGACTGTGCAGTGTATGACCTTGGTTAATTCATTTTGCCTTTTTTGCATTTCACCTTATCCATCTGTAAAGCTGGTTTAATTCTTATTTGCCTTTATAGGGATACTGTAACTTAATTGCAGTATGCAAAAAGATGGTTGATATAACTGCAGAGTACTAGCTTAGATCAGTATTAGGAGTCTTGAAAGCTGTTCATCAAAAAAATCCCCCAAAACAAACACCTTATTTGTATATAGCTCCTTTTGCTTCCCAGTGTTTTAAGTGGTTGTAAAGCCTGATGGAACAGGAAAAGGGAGGAGAGATAACTGTTTGGAATTTAGGACCGCTAAAAAAACCATTAGCATTTGGCTCCAAGAAAATTTGTGGGTAGAGGCTGTAAAGCATAAAGCCCCTCAGAAAAATGTTCACCTCCTGGCCTAGTGATTTCAGGATCCATATTTTGAAGTGTTTCTTGTCTCTGGGAAGCTACTGATCATCATTGGTGGGGAGAGCTGGCAACAGTAGTATATGTTTTGCAGGAGCAATGAAGCTAGGGTAGGATGTTGCAGCAGTACAGAGGAGCTATAGAGAGATTTTTGGATATGCAGGGCTAGGACCAGAGCTCTCGCAGAGATCTAAGAAATTACGAGTACCTTTGCTCTGCACATTTGAATGCTCAAATCCTTTTTACTGCTCCTGTTCTACCCTCCTTCGACAAAAAATATGCAAAGGCAGCTTCACAAGGTGAACCTCTCAGTTTCCAGCTCGGGCTTCTCTGTGAGAGACTACAATATAGCTCAGAGGTAGGGATTTAAGTTACAGCTGAAGTTTTCCGGGCAGCTTTGGTTGCATTCTGAAATTCAAGCAGCCTTTTGCTCGAGGGAGTCTCTCTCCCCCACTCTGAGGCCTAAGCTGTCTGTGATCCAGAGAAAAGGTTTATTAAAGTCTGAGGGGAAACAAGTTATTTGCACAGGATAACCATTTGCTATGATCTACTTTTCTGTTTGCAAAGAGGTAACTTAATATGGCTTTTCCTGTCTTGTTTGTTTGTGTTTGGATTTTGTTGTTGTTGTGAGATTCTGATGACTGTCTCCCTATCTCTGGCAATTACATGGTCAGAAAGACAAGGCTGACAGCAACATTTATACCTACAAGTGTCCTTTGGCTCCAGCTTGTGTCTGGGGCAACATTTTTTTCAGGATTAGTTTTGCTGTGCTGCTGAACACTTGATTCAGAATTGGAATGTTTTTAAATTTGAGCTGAATGCCTTTTGTCAAGTATTTGGGCTTTCATTAAAATTTGCTCATTGAAAAGTTGCTGTTAATTTTTATTTAAAACAAAACAGCAATCTCCTGTATTAGCTTTCAAACTGCATTTGAATTATTTTCTGGCCTTTTGGAAACACATTTTCTTGATAATTTGATAGTTACCTGATTAGTTCCCTTTGACATTCTTGGCAGCAGACTGAGTCAAATTTTATTTCATCCTACACTAGAACACTATAAACATTTCTTTTTTTTTGCATCCTCAACTGGAGAATTGTTTTCTATGGTATCCTAGAAACATCTTCAAACCATTTCCAGAAACTATTATTGGACATTAGGATATATTAAATAAGCCTGTCTAATAACTCTCTCTATTTCACTCTTGTTATTTTTATCTTTGCCATTGCTTCCCCTATCTTGGCAGCTGTTTCCTAGAAAGTGATAATCAATCTCTAACAGTGCTCTGATTCTTTCCTTGTTCCTCACCAATAAGAACGTGCTGAGGTGAAGGGTGACAAAGTACAGAGTAAGGGAGACAGAAACTTCTGAAAATTTGTGCATTTAACTAAGCCCATATTATGTTATGGAAGTAAAAAAAGCCATTAAAACTAAATCTCAGGAAGTCAGAATCCTCTGGACATCCTGGGAGCAATCAAAAGGGTGACTTAATTTCACTTGTAGCCATTATTGTGCCTCATCCAGTCTCTCAAATTATTCTAATTGCTTGTACAAATCATATTGAGCAGTCTATAGTGTGTGAAATAGTTCAGTGATTTGCCTTTTGGGTCCAACATGTAAAAAATAAATCTAAATTCTCTTTGGGCTTTCTGTGGGACAGTCCCCAGTTTTTTAGATAACTTTGTAGCAGTGCTTGTGTCTGTACTCAGCAGGAACTCCTTAGAACGTACTGCAGCTGAAAATAAGATTGCTATGTGGATTTTAGATTTTTCAGTATGTAGAAACCTCCCAGCTCAGGGTGAAAGACTCGGAGACAAAATATGACTCCTGTCTGCTTAAAGATACTCCTGCAGCAGCTGCGTATCACCACTAGATTAACTGGTGATGGAACTTTCATCTTTCAATATTGGGGCTTGTGCCAGGGAGGAGCTACCCTGTGTTTGTCCTGCACTTTTCCATTGCAGAGGTACTCATAGCTGTTCTTTGTTGAAACACATTTGATGGTCTTACGGCTATGCGTGAGGCGTCGTTGTCAGCTTTATTTGCAAATTGCAGCGAAAGAGCCTCCTTTGCTGTAAGCTCAGAATTCTAGCTTTCCTTCACTTGCTTGTATGTGAGACTGCACAAATCTTGCATCCTCTGAGAGGTATGTGGGAAATATTCCAGCTGTGAAGTGGCATTGCCATTAATGCCACCTCCACAATAAAGCAGTATACTTGGTTAGTAATATAATTTGTGTCATGCTGTAGTTTCATTATCTTCCTGTACTCAGAACCAATGCAAGTGTACAGGTCTTGTGGACTAGCAGCGGCAGTATTTTGCCGAGGGAAGCGCAGCTGTCTGCAAAACTGTTTCTGAAATGGGGAAAAATTATACTAGTTCTACTGTTTGACAAAGCAGAATACTGATTAGTGCTGGTTTTCAGCAGCAACATGCAATGCATTTAATACAGACTGTCTACAGAATTTGGAAGAAAACATTAATTTGATTAACATTCTCAACCTGTAAAGATTAGGGTTTTTTTTTTAAAATAAAAAAGTCTAAAATTTGCAGAAATTAGTGGCACGAGGCTTTTATACTTGCTAGGGATAATTTTCCACTTCTCTTTAAAAATCAAATAAATAGATTATTTCAAGCCCTAAATATACCCAATTTCATTGCCTCCTGTAATAGCTTTGAGCTGAAACTGGCTCACTGCATTTCTACTGAGTAGTATCACAGTCATTAATAAGTATTTATATAGTGACTTTGAATCAAAGTCATTGTATGAAGGATCTCATTCTTTGTCTTTAACAAACTTCTGAAAATCCATTCATTCACTGCCCCTGGACAACTCGTGACTGGTTTCAAACGGACCATGACACTGGGTGCGCTAGTTGTCACCCTCTGATTGGCTTCAGTGATTTTTGCTGTTTTCGACTTCAGCTTCCTACGTACCTAGGAGAGAAGAGAAAGGACGTGTGCTGTGTGGAGTTTTAGAAAATCAGCTCCCCAAGTTTGAAAATATGATCCTGTCTGACTGAGGAAACTCCACTGTTTGATCTATATCTAAGTGAAGTTCTTCAGGTGTACATTAGTACTTGTATGTTCTGAGGTGTAGTTCTTCAACCCATTCATACTAGAATCTCAGCTTCAGGGTCACACCAATATTTTTCTTCTTTAACTTTCTAACAATGTTGATTGGAGCATTTTATAGCTTATACAGATGTACCTTGTATTGAGGTGGCTGGTCAAAGAAGGAAGGTTCTGTCCCACCCTAAGCCTAATTCAGTAACACCAGCTTTGAGTTGGGCAAGTGTAATAGTCATTATGTTTCACTGCAGAACCATGCTAATAATATATATGCAAGTTTTTCACCTTGATCTTGTAATCAACAGAGCTGGCGGTTCCCCAACAAATGGTTATTTTAATGGCAATGTTGCTCCTTTTGCTTTTTGTCCAAGGGGGCAGAATTATGTATAATATAAAAGGTGGCACTACTGTGGGCAATGGAGTAAAAGGGAGCCATAGCAAGAGGAGTCCCGCAGAGTTTTTCTTGCAAAATGTTATTGTTGAGCTGTATCTTTCTCTGCACATGTATCTGTTTTTTTTGTGGCTGTGTTGTGCAAGGTATAGTGTCATTTAACTCTAATCTGTAAGTTCATTTCCTTATCTTCATGGTGTCTGTGTTCAAACAGACTAATTACATTCACACTTTAAAATTCATTGCGTTTTGTTTTTTTGGATTCTGTTTGATCACTGACCTTGAGGTCTCAGATCCAGCACACCTATCAGCTCTGTTTTCATTAAGATTTTTTTTATTGACATCAACTAAAATTTCATATTTTATGTACATACTTTGTTTATTTATATATTTGTTGTGTTTTTTAAATTTACAAGTATGTAGTTATTGATGGACTTTTTTCTCCCTTCCCCTCCCCTGACTTTTTTTTTCCAGGTATGAAGATCAGTGATGCAAACCACTGGCTTCGATGATGCTGGGCATTTATAACTGGATTCATTAAGGAATACAAAGAAAATACTTAAAGGGATCAATAATGGTGTCTTCTGGTTGCAGAATGCAAAGTTTTTGGTTTCTTCTCATAATTAGCTTCCTACAGTGTACAGAAGGTAAGATATATATTTATATTTCATGCACATTTCAGATGAAACACCTACTCTGTTATTTTAATATGCATGTTGCTTTTAGATTGGTCATTAGTTTTAGGATACCTCCCTAACAGGAATCAATTAAGTGCTACCTGTCTCATTCTAAGTTAGCTATGAGAGTCCAAATGATTTGTATAAAAACAAAATAGACATTAAAAATAAAACATGTAATATATCATATGATGTAAAGATACCAAAATGCAGTGTCTAGACAATGGGACAATACTTTATTTGATGGGTAAGTCTTCTCTCTAATACTGTCCTTGAGCACAAATAAATTACAAATTACATAAATGATACCAGGTGATTCAAATATGTTCTAACAAAACTAAAAGCTGCAGTTGAAACATCTATTTTACTTTTGTCTGCTGGTTTGATGGAAATAAAATTGCAAATATTTCATTAAAATCAGTGCTGTACGTTTCAGGCTTGTGCAAATGAAACTGAAAGGAACCTCATCTCCTTAAATCTTCTGCTTGTTTCCCTTTTCCATATGAAGCCTTATATAGCTTGAGTATACACTGTTTTTAAAACTTTTATGTCATGTATTATCTGTTGTATAAGCAGTTTCATCCCCTCTGGTGTTCTGGGTGTTCTTTTACACAATAACAGGGGAAGAGAACACTTTAAAAGAATAGGAAAGCATGCGCGCACATACACACCCCTATTCATTTTGAATGTTCCTATATATGCGTGTGTGTGTAGTACTAATAGTCACAGGGGAGTTTGGGCTAAGTGTAGCGTCCAAAATACTTTAAAATTCTTTTAGGTTATTTGTAGTGCACATTCTCCCTTTAATATCACTCATCCCCTGAATCAGGTAACTCTGTCATTGAAAGATTTTAAAGAGTGTTTTAGTGTAATTTGCAGTGCTTCTATAGTTTGTGAGCTTATCACATATGCAGCGTATGTAAGGATCTCTTAATGTAAAAATACTCTGAATTTATAGGCCAAATGTCTACACACAATTCAGGAAAATTGAATAAGGTTAAAAAAAAAAATCTCTCAAAACTAATGGAAGCTTAAACTATTTTATAAAAGTCCCTTAATTAAATATCTGTTTCTTTAAACATTTATTCTCCTCTAATGCTTGAGCCTGGGGCTTGATTGACAAGCACATTTTTCTCAAATATATCAGTAATATCCATGTAGATATCACAGCATACAAGAATTCTTGAAAGAGTATTCAAACATCTAGTTTTACCTGAATTGGCTTTAAACATCCCCCTGTTGAGAGGGAATATCTTGTTGAAAACAAACTCCCTGAAGAGTACCCCTTAATCTTCTACGGTTTTATTAGGTGCTAACTATTCGTATATATTTCCATGATGTCTTTGTTCTTGAGTGGAATCTTATTTTCATCGAAAAGCCAAACCTCTGCAGGGAAGAGAGAAAATATTGTTCACCCCCTTAGCAAAATATGGAGAATAAAAAAGTTAACTTGCAGCTTTTTGGATGCTGATGTATTTTTTTAATATAAAGCTAAACAGTTTGGATAATTATTGTTCAGTGTGAAAATTATTTTTTCTTGCCAGAATGGAGGAGCTAGTTTAGAAAAACAGTTAAAATATAGAAATAGGAAATAGGGCTTTCATTTTTTTCCATTTTATGTCTTTTCCACTTAAAGGTGCCTTATCACAGTTCTAAAATGTTGTTTTATGTTGTTGCTTTTAAAATATTCATTAAAATGTGTTTTTATTGGAGTTTAGCAATATATGGGAGGTAAAAATAATGAGGGAAGAAAAGATGTATATGTAACAGTAATTTTTTTTGCTTATTAATTTATAAAGATAATGAGCAGTTTGTTGCAACAGGTATCTAATCTGCTTGGTTTGGGCAGGAAAAATTCAAATGAAAGCTTCCTTAGACTGAATTTTCACTATTCACAGAGAGCTAATTTTTATTTTCATTTGTAACATTTTAAATTCATTTTGTTCTGCCTGCATTTTTCTTTCTTCTAGTAGCCAGTAGCAATCTTTTGATGCTGCTGTTCTGAATTCAGTTTCTTTAAAGTCCTATACCAGATTCACTTCAGCTGAAAGAAACAGAAGAAGAAATTGGGAGCGGCAGCTAACAGAATCATACCAAAATAATTGTAAATTCTTAAATGAAATATCATGGCTCTGTATTCTGGAAGTGAATATTAATAAGTTGGCTTCAAGCCACAGAAGCAAAATGAATACGGCATTATTAGACTTACACAAAATTGCATTGCCTTCTTCTTCAGTAATAAGAGATGCCAAGTGCAGCATGCTTTAGTAGCACTTCATGCCTGGAAGTATAACCATGTACAAAGGCTAGAATAACAGGATCTAAGTTTTGCAAGAAATAGAAATATCTCTAATTCTGTTACTTGGTACCTAGTGACATAAGTTTGTTATAGAAATGTTTTGTCTATGAGGAATTCATACAGTTTGTGGGGGCAAAAGACAGCTATCAAAATTCCTTATTGAGCTGAACATTTTTGTCCATTTAAGATGTGTTCTGGGGGGAAAACCAGTGGATCATTAGTCCACATAATGATTTTTTCCCCCCTATCGAGATAGAAACCTCATTGTTGTCCCAGTGCCTTAATCCCTCAGGAGTTTAGTAATCGAAAAACTTTTTCATAAGAGGCTTCAGCTTTATCTGATGTGTCACCAATTAAGGCAGGAATCACATCTAAAATTAGGAGAAGTTTGGGGTTTTTTTTTTATGCATTAGACTAAGGGGTTTTGCTTTTTAAGCAGCTCCCCCCCTCTCCCCCTCCCCCCCTCATAGGTAAAGAGAATTTGGAAAGGTCACGTACTAGTAGCTGGAAGGAAAACTACAGACAGTGAGTATATGTTGCTGGAACGCTGACCAATATTATTTTGGTTTTGCTTTAGGGAACCCTTTAAGGGCATCATAGGCTGCTAGAAACTGTAAATAGATAAGTTTGAGACACCATCAAGGGGACCAACAAAGAAACGGGAATGAGAAGGAAGTTAAGTTTATATATTTAAGTATTTATAATGACCTTTAAGGCTAATTGTTTACTTCCTTGTGTAGTACACTACAAGTACCTTCTGTAAGCCAGAGACATTGCAAAGAAATCTCTTTAAGTTCAAAGAAGGAAAAAAAAAGCCCTTGAGAATAGTTGAACAGTTGAGAAAAGCACACTATATGTTGTTTCCTAAAAATATTTTTAATTGGGAAAATTGAAAGTGAATCTAGAATTCTTGTTTTTATGTATGTATCAGGGCAAAATGGTGTGGGCAGGTTATGTGTGGCATGCTGCAGACTGGGGAGGGGGCAGGAAGAACAAGAACA